GATGTTACTCTGAGTGTATTTCCACACCGCGCAAGCTTGAAATATAAGCCTGGCCACGGTGGGATTCCAACATACGACCTTTGGAATACTAGCCCAATGCTCTGCCAACTGAGCTACGTGGTCAGGTTGGTTCGTGTATGCGATATTTCGGAACTGAGTCTAGTTCCTTCGATACCAGTGTAATCTAATAATCATGAAATTTGCTGTGTTGCTGTAATGCACTCAGGTGAATAAGATGCTTTTGTGATGTTACTCTGAGTGTATATCCACATCGGGCAGGTTTGAAATATAAGCCTGGCCACGGTGGGATTCGAACCTACGACCTTTGGAATACTAGCCCATATATATATATATATATATATATATATATATATATATATATATATATATATATATATATATATATATATATATATATATATATATATATATATATATATATATATATATATATATATATATATATATATATAATTTCATAAAGTAATTTCCCGTTTTTAAGAATAAAGAGTGCTCAATACAGGACAATTGTAGAGCATATAATAATTTAATATTTTAATACAATTTTTCAATTGAATAAGTTGCTACTTTAAGTTTCATGCAACATTTGTAGCTACGATATCGGCGTCACAAATTTTAACGAAATTTGCGGTGTATTTTTCACTGTTTAGTGCTTGAAACCAGCAAAGTATATTTCTTAAAACTGCTAAAATTAATTTTACATTCTCCCTCATTATTTGCCAATATTTTTGCGAGCATACACGCGTCACTAATTGTTTACATCCATGAAATGTCGGGGCTTAACTCGAGTACTTAAATCGTTAATTGACTTCGAGTTAAGCAAATTGTCATGTAAGATCACTGCCGAGGTAAACTACAAAACTGTTAACTTCCTCGATGTTATACGCTTAATCTTACTAATGAGTCATACAAGCCCTACAGAAAACCAAATAACGACCCACTGTTCATTCACAAAGAATCCAACCATCCACCATCAATCACCAAACAACTCCCAGCAGCAATCAACCGCAGAATCGCGTCATTATCATCCGACAAACAAACCTTTGATTCTGTTGCTTCCACTTACGACTACGCCCTGAAGCAGAGTAATAACAACACCAAACTTCAATACTCAGCTGCTGAAACAACGCCTACAACCGAAAGTCGATCGCAAAATGAGAAACATAAACGCACAAGAAGAATTATCTGGTTCAACCCGCCGTATAGTAAAAACGTAAGAACCAATGTCGCCCGAGATTTCTTGAAATTAATCTATATGTATATATATATATATGGCCGAAAATTTAGTGGCCGAAGTGGCCGAAAATTTATTATTTGTATACTTTACTTTAGTCATCTTTAATAAATTCTTCGATACGTAGCCATCTCTTTGTCGTAATATATATATATATATATATATATATATACAGGGTGTATCAAAATAAACGCAATTCATCTTTTGTGCTTAATAACTTTCGAAATACTATTTCTAGTTAAACGCTTTTAGGCTTACTTCAAAGCCTGTTCTTTTCTCTTTCAAACAAACTATTATCCTTGTCTCCAATGCTAGTAATAATTGCACAGGAAAAGATTTGGTAAAACCTATCATTTTTAGTTGCTGTTTAATTATGCAAGTTTACTATGTTATTGTTTAGTCGGTTTAAATGTTAGAATTTTCTTCTTTAAACTTTAATGTTGTCGTCACTACATCTGGAAAGCCACGTAAGAACAAATTAAAAGTATTTTAAAAGAGACCAGGTTGTTTGAAAATCATAAACGAATGCTAAAAATCGTCAAAACATTCTGGTGTCTGAGCCAGAGTGTCATCGAACTGCGATGGAATGTAAACAGAAATTATAGCAAGTTGATGTCAGTCAGCTTAGATGGTCCAAGCCAAAATTATATCGCATTTGAAGTTTCAAACTGAGTAAAAAATAGTGGAAGAAAAGCCGTAATTATACTTATTGTTACAATCAATTTAATAAAATGCAACATTTTTTGTTTTAATGAAAAAATCAGTTATTTTCATGAGAACGATTTGTTATTCCAATTTTTATCTCAATTTTTTTAATCTCCAATCGCAATAACGTAAAGTATTATTACCCGCGAACCAATGAGTCAAATTTAAGAAACAACCCACTGTTAGAAAGCTGAATGGCTACGCTTTAAAATGAATGTAAACTTTAACGTCTTGGTCTATTATTTGTTTAGCAATTTACATTTCAGTCGAGGATTGCGCTTTTTTTGATACACCCTGTATATATATATACATATACATATATACATATATGTATATATATATATATATATATATATATATATATATATATATATATATATATATATATATATATATATATATATATATATATATATATATATATATATATATATATATATATATATATATATATATATATATATATGAAAGCGTTATGGTTGCCATGCCTGGTTTCAATGTGAATGGTGTTTTAAAAAATAAAACAAGAACTTCCTTAGGCATAAAAAAGAAAAAAAAAAGAAAAAAAATCTTTTTTATGCCTGAGGAAGTTCTTGTTTTATTTTTTAAAACACCATTCATATATATATATATATATATATATATACAATGAGATAAGTCAAATTGTTCGTAAATCCGGATTTCCCCATTCCTTATTTCAGCAGCAAAAAATGTAATATGTAGTTCTAATAGCAATAGTCATCATTTTCCTAACGCAGTACATTTGGTGGTTTTTGTCAAGACCATTACTTTCTAACATGTCTAAAAATGTACTACATTCTTCTGCTAACGAGAACGTCCATATATTCGTGCCAGTAGATCAGTGGTAACAAGTTTAAGGCCAATTAACAATCTTGATTTATAGCAGGTGTCAGTTTCAAAAGCTAAAGCCAAGATGAATTTAGTTGCCCTCATTTGAACATTTTCCAATTCACCACACATGCTTACGGTTTGTGGGCTCCATACCTGTGACGCATAGGCCAGGTGAGATCGGACTAATGCCAGATATAAACTACGTCTAGTGCTTGCATCTCTAACATGAACTGTCGAACGTTTCGGCATGCCAAGCATACGGTTCGCTTTGGTAATCTTCTCGTATAGTTGGGTGGTTAGTTCAGTTTTATGATTATCATCCGACATGTGGAAATCAAAGTAACGTCCTAAATATTGAAATGATTCTGCAATAATAATAATAATAACAATAATAATAATAATGGAAACTTTATTACTTTCAATAATATATATATATATATATATATATATATATATATATATATATATATATATATATATATATATATATATATATATATATATATATATATATACACTACAATGATAAACCTCTCTTTACAGGTAGTTTACCAGTGTCTACTTGAATTAACACTCTACATAATAACAACATTAGTATGACATTAGTTGTGGGTTATCCCATTCTTTGTTACGCTTACAGAATATATAATACGAGGACCTGATACATATGTTAATAATTTTCCGAACATAGTACTTTCTACATTGTTCATCAAACTTTAGATCCTTCAGCATTTCGGTGAAATCTAGCGACGGGTGGCTGAAAACTCCTAATGAGCTAATCAATAAATTTACAAATTTTACTTTTTCATAATTTTTGAGCTGTTCCTTAATCAGATCTTGATATTTTTGTCATTTTCGAGTTGCATTAGTGAGGAGATTAGATTCAAATCCGACGGTAAGTTCAAATATATAAATACATTTGTTTTCAAGTGTTATCAAAAGATCAGGGCGCAATTCATCTCCGGTGATAACAGATGGACTGATATAGCCAGGAAGGTCAGCATAAAGGTTACAATGGTTCACAGATTTAAGTATGGATGCTATAAAGTTAAGCACCGAATCATGACGCCACGTGAAACGTCCTTCATTTAGGTAGGTCTTGCATCCAGCGACGACGTGAAGAAGTGATTCTGGATTCAAACAAAACGAACATTCGGATGTTGGTGATATTCCCCATTTCAGAAGGTTTTTGCGAGTCGGAAGAGTGTTATTTATATACCGGATAGTGAAGTTAAATATATTCTTTGGAAGTTTACTCTGAACGGAGGACCATATAGAGTTGAATGAGAGTGTAGAATGTTTAATGATATTGGAGAAAAATGAGCCTTGTGAAATGAGGTGGTGTTGAAGCTTGTATTCAGGTTGTTTCCTGATGGTGTTTACTAAGTCCTTGGTGTTTTTGTATTTGTCATATTGTACATTTTTGTGATTGCTAGTATCCTTCCAAAGGTAATTGATCGCTTTATTTGGGGAGGACTTTAGGGCTTTCCGAAAAACAGTTTGGCATTGAAGGAATTTGTTTGAAGGTAGAATGATATTTAATCCAAATTTATTGTGGAGATGTAGGACGTTACTAAGGGTTGCAGAAAGAAGAAGTTCAAGCCATTTTCGGATATACGTGGACGCGATACTATCTAGTTTATCGTTAACCCAGGTTTTGCCTATGTCAGAAACAAAACAGTGAAGTGCCAAGAGATTTTAATAATAATAATAATAATAAAAATAATAATAATAATAATTATAATAATAATAATAATAATAACAATAACGAAAACTTTATTAAATGGATATTTAGCTTATATATACAATTGCAAATCTCACTTATATCAGGTAATTTACAACTGGCTACTTAAATCACTGATTATATATGCAAAAATTATACTATTAAGATAAAAAAATGACAGTACAACGTTTAAACACTTAACAGTTCCGGATTCATCCATTCCTTGTTTCGACAACAAAATATAAAGTACGTTGTTCGGATTGCAATCATCGTCATTCTTCTAATACAGTAATTCTGATGTTGCTTTTGAAAACCAAAATCATTAAGCATTTCTATGAAAGTAGAAAATTCTTTACTGAAAACACCAAGAGAACTAATCGAAAGATTTATAAATTTTACTAAGTTAAAATGTTCATTTTGTTCACTAATTAATTCTTTATATTTTGACTTTTTACGCTCAACGTTTTATTGAGGATTTGATTCGAAGCCAACTGTAAGTTCAACAATGTAGAGTGTTCCGGTTGAGGTTGAAAGAAGCAAATCTGGACGGTAGGTGTCACCAGTGATGATTGATGGACTGTTGTACCCTGGGAGATCCACGTAAAGATGTGAGCCGCTTACGGTCTGCAGGCTTGTTGCGAGAAAGTTTAGAACGGAGTCATGTCTCCACGTGAATCGTTCTAGATACGATTGGCAACCAGCTACTACGTGCAGAAGTGTTTCAGGAGCTAGACATCGCGAACAGTCTGAAGTCGGTGATAAACCCCATCTTGCAAGGTTTTGGCGCGTTGGAAGGGAGTTATTGATGTATCGAACTGTAAAGTTGAATATATTTTTCGGAAGGTTCGATTGGCACGCAGACCAAATTTTAGTGAGTTGGGACAGTGAGAAATTTGTTATATTAGTGAAGAAAGAGCCCTGACAGGTTAATTGAGTATGCAGTTTATCCTCTTGGCCAGAGCGAAAGTCCTTGAGAACTTGCTTAGTGGAGTTATAAACGTCATACTGAATATTTTTGCTGTTGCTAGTTGCTTTCCAAAGATCGTTAATTGCTTCGTTTGGGGATGTTTTTAGGGCTTTACGGAGAACAGTTTGACATTGAATAAATTTGACAGATGGGGGACAAATACTGAGGCCAAACTTGTTGCGGGTTAGGAAAACAGTGCTTGGCGTTCCAGATATAGGTATATCAAGCCATTTACGGATATAACTGTTGACTTTGGAATCAATGTTTTCGGTGACCCACGTTTTCGATACTCTAGAAACTGTAAAATGCCAGGATAATTTAGACAGAAGATATCGACTGTAGAGGAGGATTTTATTTTTTGGATGTAATGGTTTGGAATCAATATCTGCCATTAGTTCTTCAACGAGTGAGATTAGTTCAGACTTGTGGTGTTCGTCTGACATATTAAAACTAAAGTATCTTCCTAAGTATTGAAATAATAATAATAATAATAATAACAATAATAATAATAATAATAATAATAATAATAATAATAATAATAATAATAATAATAATAATAATAATAATAATAATAATAAGCACTACACTGATAAGGCCCATAAGGCCAAAACGGTACCGTCTGTAGTTAGATATCGCTCTATGGCCTTTAGGTCATATTAGTTGACCTGCACGGAAGCACATAAGCGAACGTAAAGCCTCATTAATATCATTATCGTGACTCAACCTACGCAAAATTAATGATTCTTATTGGATGCTGACTTCTTGCCGTGTTGGCCATATGATAATGATTTGTCTCCATGATGTCTTTATAATATCTATAGCTATTGTAAAATTTAGCGCACACAGTTGTTTGAATGCAGTTGCAAGCACTGAATTTTTTGTATACAGATTACAGTTTTAAAATAGTATGTAACGTATAGATACGCGATAAAGCAAGGCGAAATGGATGACAATAAGGTTATTGTGAATCTTACTATGCTGAGCATAAATGCAATTTATAACGTGCTTTCCTTTATGTACTATTTAAAAAACGAGCAGGAGTGTTTTATTAGGTTTAAAGCCACGAGCGCGCAGCGCGAATGGCTTTAGACCTAATAAAACACGACCCGCGAGTTTTTTAAATGAATTCAAAAACGTATGCATAATAAGTCAAATCTTTATATAAAAATCTTTATATAAAAAAGTTTATATAAAAATCTTTATATAAAAACCTTTATATAGTTTGCATAACAATGGTCTTTTGTTAAAGTGTTCTTTAGCTGGTATAAAGACGTATGCACGTGACTAATTTCGTACTCAAGATTGGATATTAATTGCTTCATGAATTATTAATGAGTTTTTGAATTATATATCAATTATTATTGGATTATAAATGCTGCTTTTGACGAATCAGTGGAAGAGAGCAATGTTGAAGCCCGATTGAACACCCTCCTGAACACATCAGGGCATATTTTCCAATCATTTTATCAGACAGTAGGCTAATTGCTTTGATCGCAAACCTGCACCGGCACAGTTCCTTACCACGACCACGACCCTACAATGTCATGTGTTTCTTCGCACTTGGCGAGGTGGCGTTTTAACGTCCTTCTTCTTTTAGCTTTCATCTACATGTAGCATAGATATTTTATATACACTAGATAGCGCATCTCTTTTTGTAAAATTGAAGCCAAGAATATTCCAGCGGTTACTCCCATTTGAATAGATGGCGGCCATGTTGGTCGTTTCCACACGCTAATAAACGCTCAAAAACAGCAATAACTTTCATCATTTGAATACTTTAAAAATGTATTTGGAATATAGGGTTAACTTAATATTTAAGTTCCCTGTTTAAGAAATAGGAAATATACGAACTTCTTTTATTTCATGGGAACGACCTGAGACTGCAATTACGGCTTCAATTCTTGAATTTCAGAATAATTAGATGCACTATCTAGTGTATATAAGATATCAATGACATGTAGTTTACTTGTTTAGAAATTACTGTCGATCATTTGAATATGATTGCCTTCGCAAATTCCACATAAGTCTTTTAATAATGTGGAGTATGCTTTCATTGTTTCTACATACTACATGATTTACTTATTTAACTGCATGTATGACATGTATATGTGAATATCTGCAGGGTTTTGGCATAAAGTTGGTCTTTCGCTAAGATAGTATTCTCAATTTCTCATACATATTGCTCAAATGTTGTTAGACAAACAAATTGACTCAATAACATCGACAAAGGACAATGAGTATTATATATCAGACATCACAACATGCAAATTGCAAATGTTCTATATCACAATATGTGCAGATTATCGCCCGTATTCTAAAAGCTCACTCACACTCACACTCACACTCACACTGAGGCAGCGTTTACACTGTACCGTTTTCGTAGCGTTCTCGTATTGTTCGAGAGAACTAGACTATTGTCTTGCGTTCCCTTGAGGATTAAGAACAATACGAGAACGCTACGAAAACGGTACAGTGTAAACGCTGCCTCAATAAGTGGAATGAGTTCAATCTGAGCTTCTCTCGAGTGTCATGTCATTGCCGTTTTTTGTCATTGTTGTACCTTAATATGTGACTACTCGCCCTCCAGCTATTCAAAAACAGCACTGACACCGGCAAGAGAAACTCAGATTGAACCTCCACTCATTGCATGAGTGTGAGTGTAAGTGAGTTTTTAGATTACGGGCGTAAGACTATCGCCTGTATTCTAAAAGCTCACTCACACTCAATGAGTGGAGGTTCAATCTCATGCGCTTCTTTTGAGTGTCAATGCTATTTTTGAATAGCTGGAGGGTGAGTATTGTCGCATAGTAAGGTACAACATAGGGCTAGCCCTCCAGTTATTCAAAAACAGACACACGAGAGAAAATGACACACGAGAGAATCTCAGATTGAACTTCCACTCATTGAGTGTGAGCGTGAGCGAGCTTTTAGAATACGCGTATATTCTGTGTTTTGACATGTGTTGAGTATACTTGCTTACAATTATTACACTAAATAAACCAAATTTCATGCCGTTTGGCGTGAACTTTCGAGGCGTTCTAGACTAGACTGTATAGCGGTTTCCCAACAACCTAACCGAACAACTAAACCATGGCAGGCAAGGGAGTTAGTTATATTATTGCAGCTGATCATAACAAGTTGTTTTGCAGACCCATGCAGAACGCAAGTTTAGTAATACTCTTTACCATGGGAACTGCATGCGTGGTCGACATGGCATGGTCGACAAAATCGATCTGTCAGAATAACTCATTGGTTGCCGGTCAAATCCTTATCGAGTGTCAATTAACAAAACTCGAGGCAGGCGTAACCAACAACCTGTTATCGTATTCGAATCATAAAGAAGGAGATCACTATAATTATGCGTGTGCAAATAGTCTGCCTATTATTATAGTTTCACTTAGGTCGCTTTGAGTCATTTTAAGTTGCTTTAAGTCGTTGTTAGCATATATTAACTGGTCCAACCAATCACAACTTGGATTATTACATAAGACATCTGCATAACTGAATATAAGCTATGCTAAGTCCTTCGGTGCAGGTCAACTATTGAGCGCTCTACAGGATGAGCCATTGCCGCTTACGCATTGCGCACGGTCTGATCGCACGCCTGTAGTTGTCCCAGAGTGTACAATAACACAATTAACATAACACTTGCAGAACTAGTATTGTTCGATGCTGAATTAACGAGTATGTTTATGACATATATATATATATATATGTCATATATATATATATATATATATATATATATATATATATATATATATATATATATATATATATATATATATATATATATATATATATATATATATATATATATATATATATATATATATATATATATATATATATATATATATATATATATATATATTTATAACAACTTCACTAAACACAAAGACAAGACACATATAACGGAAAAACATAGGCCTAACGCCATTTATATCTTCCCGTGCAAAAACTGTCCTGATAAGTACATTGGACAAACATCTAAAAAGATTCAGACAAGACTAACAGAACACCAGAACGCAATCAATCAGTTAACAGATACGACCATAGCTCACTTCCAGCTAAACACACAAACGACAACGGACATAAATTCGACTGGTCTCAAACGAGATGCATGCCTAGGACAAGCAACTATAGGCCTACAAAACATGCCCGTGAGTTTAAAGAAGCGTGGCATAATTTAGACAAACAAACATTTAACCGTCACATTGACATCCCTACAATTTACTTACATCTGAAACGGTCGCACAAATCTCCTAATTCATCTTCATTAACCTTTTACCCACCCTCAACTTCCTTCCCTACACCGTCTCATAATGACAATGATCACCCGCATTCCATAGTAACCAATGGCAACCAACATACTGAAATCCATCAACTAACCAGACGTTCCACAGACTTCAACAGCATCAACAACAGCGCGAAAATTCAAATGATCAATCTTTCTGATGAAGGCTCGAAGTACCGAGTCGAAAGCTCAAAACAAATAACTACAATCCGGAGAACACTGTATAATATTGTAAAAATTATAATTTAATAAAATACCTGGATTACAAATCTTCAAATATATATATATATATATATATATATATATATTGTTATTTGTATGGTAAATCACTTATATTCATATTATGTATAATTAGCAAAATTGGGAGGGTATAAAATGGGTTCGCCTGTTAAGTAAGATTATATTTGATGAAGACAATAAAGTCGAAACGTTACGTTATGTGTTGATTAATTTATATATATATATATATATATATATATATATATATATATATATATATATATATATATATATATATATATATATATATATATATATATCTCTCTCTATATATATATATATATATATATATATATATATATATATATATATATATATATATATATATATATATATATATATATATATACGAGTAGGTTTGTGTATGCGAAACGCAAAGAGTGCTCAATATCATAAAGATAGAGCAAATGTAGAATTTCGCTTACCTCAAAATTCCGCAACAGTCTGTTTCATCAGTAAAGAATCATCAGGCGGTATGACAAGTTTCGAAAATAGGGCTGCTTATATGTGTTTTGGCCGGAACGTGGGGGTGTGTGGGTGAAACAAAGCATGCATTCATCTATTGTTTGCGTTGTTTACGCGGAAATGCCTAATCGAATTGTGGGAGTGTATTGTTTGCGTTGTTTACGCGAAATTTCTTCCTATGTCTGCACGTAGATATAATTTCCATTCTTTTATTGAGTAAACGGGTTTGGTTTTCTTTCAAAATACAAAATTTTTCCTCTAAACATAAATTACATCGTTTTGATCCTCCCGTATACGAAATAGCGCGTTTCAAAATTTGCCAATTGATATTAAAATCTTTCTTGCTATCTTTCAATGTCCAAATATATTTCGAAAGCTCAGTTTTGTTTGAGTGCTCTTTATGCTCGAAAGTATAGTTATGGTTAGCCAAACGCTCTTTAAATGTAGTTGATGTCATGCCAATATAATTCATGATCGTGTTGGGGTTGCTTGTTGTGACTGTTGCTTTGTATACTATGTCCTTAGTCATGCATTGTTTCTGAAGTGGGCATATTGTGTTTTTCGAACAACTGCAATTGACAGTGTCCTTGCCCTGTGCCTTGTTCTTCCTAGCTATATGTGCATTGTGCTTAGTGATTATAGACTTAACATTGCTCATGCAGCTATAACTTACTTTTACTGTATTTCTGTTAAAGATCTTATGCAGCTTGTGGTGCGAAGGAAAGTGCTTGTCGATAAGGTTAAGAAAATTACGCCCTATATTAGTGCTGACATTCATGCTAAATGGTGGGTTGAACCAAATGATATTACGTTGCCTATTTCTGCGTGCTTGCTGTGGTGCGTGTTGAGTGTAGTTAAGATCATGATTAAAGTTGCTATGGTCAAGTGCGTTTTGGTATGCAGGTGCAGATTCCATAAATGTTTGCTCATCTGATGAAAGCATTGCAATGCGCTTGTTAACTGATGTAGGAAGCTGCCTTATAATGCTAGGTGGATGGTTAGAGTACCTATTTATGTATAGCGGATCGTCATTGGGCTTTCTATAGGGCCTATATTTTCCGTTGTTAAGATTGAAAGTTACATCTAAAAAGTTTACTATGCGTAAATTTGATTCGGCGATGATTTTTAGGTCAAACAGCTCGAAAATTTTGTGGAGTTCTTTCCTTGTTTTGTCTGCTAAACGTGCCGATTTACTTTTTATAAGGGCCAAACCGTCGTCTCTATATAGGCCGATGCTTTCTTTGCCAAACTTCTTACTTAGGTGATTTAGGATGAAAAGGCCAACTAATTCACATATTTCGCGCCATCGTGGCTGCCCATGGTAACGTCAAACAAACCTTCACTATCTTTTTTAGTCCATGGTTTTCCGGTGTTGAAAAGCAGGGATTTTCTGGCGTGTTTTATGATCAAAATATCATTATCCGAAATGGTAGTTAAATTAGAAGCCCAAGATAATGCTTGGTCCAAAAGCTTTTCCGAAATGGATGGGTAAAAATCAACGATATCAAACGAAATAAAACTATGTCTTTCTTTGTCTTTTATATTTCCAAACCATTCAATTGCTTGTTTTGTATTTCTCCACTGGTTCAAATTCAGTTTTTGTCTCAAATTGGAGTTAATTTCATCTAAAATAATTTTGCTCAATTTTCCTGATTCGCTTTTAGCGGGATTAATTAGCCGACATTTTGGATTGTTCTCGAAATTTTCTTTGTGGTCTTTTAAAGATATAAATGCTTCACGTTTTTTCATTTTTTCAATTCTGTCGCCGATTCCTAAATTGTTCGAAATGTCTTTTAATTCAGAGTCAATTTCGTCTACATATAGTGTCCTCGGATCCATGTTCTGGCCAAAACACATAATAAGCAGCCCTATTTTTCGAAACTTGTCATACCGCCTGATGATTCTTTACTGATGAAACAGTCTGTTGCGGAATTTTGAGGTAAGCGAAATTCTACATTTGCTCTATCTTTATGATATTGAGCACTCTTTGCGTTTCGTTTACACAAACCTACTCGTATATATATATATATATATATATATATATATATATATATATATATATATATATATATATATATATATATATATATATATATATATATACATTTTAAGATGTGACCAGGAACGACTGCGAAAAATGCAGCACAAGGTCCTCTGGTAGGAATTGAACCCACGGGCCTGCGATTCCGGTGCAGCGCTCTAATGTGATTTAACAACCATCAGAATACAAATAATTGATAGACATTAAGTTTGCCACCAGCCAACTTGACCGGTAAAAATTTGGCACTTGCCAACATGTATATATGCATGAATGTCATTGTTAATTAATAGTATACTCGGGTTTTATCAATCATGCGATGAACTGAAGTAGTACATCAACTTGTTGGGCTTGTTTTTCATTTAGCCTATTTCAGACTTTTCCTTTGTCACGCTTTAAACCCTCATTTTTACGAGCAAGCCATTTTAAATTTAGTTGGCAATGTTTAATTGCACTGATGCAATTGCGTAGATAAGCTTCGTATATGGAATTAGACTCTTATAGTTCATTGATATTCTGCATTATTGCAAAAATGTTGAATCTTCTACTACTTTGTATAAAATGCTGTTTTTTTAGTTGCTACTTGGGTTTTGCTGGATCCAACTGCAGTCAGTATGATTGCTCAGACGTCGATGATTGTTCTGGAAATGGCGCATGCATGGAACCTAATCTTTGTTCGTGCAAGTCAGGCTTTGAAGGCGCAATGTGCTTGGATTTCTCGTGTGAAACACGAAGTCGTTGTTCAGGTCAGTGCAAGACGTTTTATAAACACCGGCGATACAACAACTTAACCCTTTGTTAAATATGCTAAATATGCATTTCCGAAACAAAATAAAAGTATTTTTCCACCGCGGTATTCTCAAATTGAAAATTAAAACGCAACTATATAAATTATAAGTAACATAAGCAATCTTGAATGATATTTTCATACAGGAAACGGAATTTGTGTGGATTACGAAAAATGTCAATGGAATGATAACTGGATTGGTTTATCCTGCGAAACTCCGACGTGTTATGATGTGAATAACTGTTCATCGAATGGACTATGTGTTTCTCCCAACAAGTGTGAATGTTTTGAGCAATATGACGGTGTAAACTACACTGAAGAGATAGCTGTAAACCTCAATACCCCTATATTCTTAAACGAATCTTACTCTGCAGTCGTGTCTGAAAACCAAGGGAAAGATTTTGTTATATTGACAGTGTCTGCAAATGATTCCGATCACGGACGGAGCGGGGAAATTTCTTATTCAATCGAAGAAGCAAACATTGCGAATTTGTTCATGATTAGCCAAGACAGCGGGGAGATCACAGTTGCTGCTGACGGTGTTTTGGACTACGAAAGTATTTCTCAAAAACAATTTACATTTACGGTTGGCGCGATAGATAATGGAATCCCAACCCGAAGTTCTGAAGCGACAGTTACGATTGCTGTGAAAGACGAGAACGACAATTGCCCTGTATTTAAAACATTTCCAGGAAATTACAAAATACCAGTAGAAATTCTGGCAAATGACGATGATTATGGAGATAACGGTCAGATACAATACTCTATTACAGAGGAATCCGATCCAGATCAGAAATTTTTCATAACTTCAAATGGCACCCTTTTAGCGAACAGCATTCTTCAACCTGGTGCTTATTTGTTGACCATTGTAGCGCAAGATCAAGGCGTTATACCATGTGCTCGAGAACTAAGTTTGACTGTTGTTGTTGATGAAATTGTTTCTCCCAACGTTCTGCCAACCACAACATTAATCACCACTGAACCATCGTCCGTAATGTCAAGTACCATTGGTTTACAACAATCCTCATCACTACAATCAAGTACCATAGTTCCTGAACCATCCTCATCACTACAATCGAGCACCATAGTTCCTGAACCATCTTCATCACTACAATCGATTACCATAGTTCCTGAGCAATCCTCATCACTACCATCGAGTACCATAGTTCCTGAACCACCCTCATCACTATAATCGAGTACCATAGCTCCTGAACCATCCTCATCACTACAATCGAGTACCATAGTTCCTGAGCAATCCTCATCACTACAATCGAGTACCATAGTTCCTGAGCCATCCTCATCACTACAATCGAGTACCATTGTTCCTGAACCATCCTCATCACTACAATCGAGTACCCTAGTTCCTGAACCATCCTCCAACACGCCCCAGCTGCAACCCACAGAAACTAGTAATACGGGTAGTCCAACTTCCTCAACGCAAGCCACTACAATCAACAATATTGTACCGGTACAGGTGAGGATACTGGATGTTGGATTTGTGGAGGGCTATCGAGACAAAAACAGTATCGATTATAAAAACCTTAGAAGTATGGTAGAAGCAAGCCTGCTACTCGTATTTGAAAAGATGGGAGAATTTTTGAGAATATCCGACGTGGATTTTGAGGAAGGAAGTGTCATCGCCAATATCCAAACTGAGTTTTCATCTGAAAGTACCCATGTCAGCACTAGTAGTCTCGCAAGGGCAGTTGTTGATGCTAGTGACGAAAATGGCAATTTGGGTGAACTTCGCTCGGATACTTCATTTCTCCAGAAACAAATTACCCCAACTGCTCGTCCTACGACTGAAAGTCCTAACAATGACGATGATGAAAGAGGAGATAGCAATGCATTCATTGGTGCCGTAGTTGCCATTGGATCAGCAGCATTGGTTTGTGTCATTCTGGCTGTGTGCCTCGTAAGTATTAATATACAAAATTAATAAGAGCAAGACGCCGGCTCAGTTGTACACCCATATTGCAAGGGTTAGAGAAGCAAGTCGTCTGCTCAGGTGTAGTATACTATACCATGCAATATATAATAATGGACATGAACATGCAGTTGGTATAGAGTAAACATTTCTCAGTTGAGACATCGATATTCTACTAGGTCCAATAAAATAATATTATGTAGCCGTTTAACGGTCAATGTAATCTACAGGCCGCTCACTGCATGCAGACCAGATATAAACAATCCACCAAAGTCTTCGGAAACTCGGCCAAAGTCTATGCTCTGTGCCTTTATCTTTCTGTTATAATGCCTAATTCGCAGCAATATGTATTATATTCCTTCTGCCACTCACACTATCCCTTTGCAACGCTATGAACCCAACATTTTAATAATTTGAAACTGGCAAGAACCGTAGTAAATCGTCAAAAACTACTTGAGAAACTCAGTATCATTGAATAAAAATATTGCATCTATACATGAACGTACTTGCTACATTCTACCTTTTGAAGTCAAATATGAGCAAAAGTTGCAAACAGCGAAACATATTTACGTGTATCATTTCCTTTCAAACCTTAACATGTACACAATCTTCTTCATTTAAGGTATGTTGTTTCAAGGACAAGACGGCTGGGAAAAGACAACCGTTGTTGTTTTTGAATTAAATTCTTACCAAGTCGGCTCTTACGAAAATCATCGCTTCGATCCTTATTATTAAGAATAAAGCAATGCATTTTTGTTAGAATTTAGCGTACTAGACGAAATGCTTCACGAATGACAAAATAATGTAGAAAAGTAGAAAACATTGTAACTTACATGCAGCAAGCACTTTTTTATGGTCGAACTTAGTTTCCGTCTTACGACAGAAATAATAATTCCACATAGTATTTGTATCACACCTGGACAATTTTGCTTATTATATATCTTATGTAATGTTGCATTTGATCATGCAAGCACTTAATTATTGCATATCATATTTGATAAAATATTAGAACATCAATTTTATAATTCTAGTATGTTTTGTACTATGATTGCACCATATATCTTTTTCTGTATTCTATACATTTCAAGTAATAAAAGCTTTTAATGCTTAAAAGCATTCTGATATGAAGTAAAGATCAGGAAGAAAGAAACTGAATTTTTTTGCATTTTGTTCAAGTGATTACGATTATTAATTGTATTTTAGTTTCTTAGTTTTATCCTTGAATCCTGAAATATTATTATTCATTGTATTTTTTATATTTTTACTTTCTTCACACCTGGAAAAAAACATATTTTGAGATCAGTGAGATGACCATTCATACACCATGCGCCTGCTATTGTGGATGACTTTAGTGTTTAGACTTCGTTAATGCTTTCCTTTCGCCGGGTGTAAATAGCCGGGCGGAATTAGTACCTTAGCCCCGGGCTTACGCCAGGAACGACGTTCCGCGCCGTTGGCTCGGGATAATCTATACCATACGTTCGGGGATATCCCTGCCAACTTCACCATTTGCTTTACGTTTAAATTTAAAAACCCACTTCGATCCGACAATACACGCATCATCAGGAGGAGGGACCAAATCCCATGTCTCGCACTTCACCAAAGAATTGTACTCAGCTTCAACGGCTTGTTTCCATTTCGCAGACTTCTTACCATTCAGAGCATCAGTTACAGACTTTGGTTAATCATGATCAGCTTTTAATGATGTGGCGACATTGCATTCATCTTGTAAAAGTCTTCAGGAGGTTTGCTTTGTCTTTTTGGGCCGATACTTGCAACTTGCCTCATAAATAATTCATATGTAGTTCTAAAATAATTCATATGTACAGTAGGTTGGGTAGCTCCCACTGCTGGCGTATGTTCTTGACTCTATTTCAACTGGAATTGCAGGCTTAGGGACCGTTCATTATTTATACCCGGGGTTGGTACCGAAGAGATATGGGTTGGGCAATCAAGTTTTTGACTAGCTCATGGGTTGGGTAAAAAACATATATGGCTGTTTGTCAGCTATAAAATAAAATAAAACCAAAATTACCAAGCATTGGAAAATATGAAGAAAAATGTGTACAATACATTCTGTACCAAAATAGACCATCCGTGATTGAGGAAGGACTCTATCATTGCCATCAGCAGGAACGTGATTGCTTTGGCACACTCGGTGAGTTTGAGTGTGAGTGAGCTTTTAGAATTTAGGCAACTTGATTTCTGTCACCATAATCTTGTGTGTTTAATTATTATGGAGTACAGTAACATATGGGTTGGGTAAACATTTTTTTTGCCATTGTTGAGGTTTGGTAAATAAAAAATGTACAGTGTTTTTCGCTTCTCTTCGGTACCAACCCCAAGTATAAATAATGAACGGTCCCTTAACTCTGATATATATTGGTGTACATTTCATTCTCATGATCAATATGGTCATCAACATCTTCAAACAAAACAGTTTCCTTGACAGATACTGATAATCGAAAGTCATGAAACTTATCTTCATGAGAAAGCACATCTTTACTTGGAATAAAACGCTTCGACTCTATGTCATAGCCTTTCGTTTGGAGTGGATATCCAACGAGAATTTTTCTTTTTGAGATTTGGGATCTAGTTTTCATCTTCAACTGTCCAGAATAAACACAAAACAAATTGATCCGAATACCTTTACGTTAGATACATTATAGACCTTATTCATAAATCGTGATGAGGCCTCGTATCCTAGGAAACGGGGAAAAACGCGGGAAAATTGACAAAATGTTTTTTTTTGCTGTCGGCTATGCCTATGGCAGCTTTATTTCGTGAATATTAAGGTTTTTTTCGAAAATAATATCTATAAAACTGATCTAATTGAAAGTTTAAAAAAATACTTCTGAGGAAATATAACATGATATTAAAGCAAAAGATGCTGGAGTCAATCGAAAAAGGAAACAAACAACCACATTGAAGGCTAGAAAACGTCTATACAACACCACAATCGTAAGAAATATGAAGCTATTGCTGAAGAAATAGGATTACAACTCACTCAGGTAATGTAGCCTTCATTGTAAGCTGCTTGCAGAATGTTATCAAGCCACAGCCATAGTTCATATTTTTCCGTACGAACCAATAACATTTGACGTTCTCTTGTGATTTTTGACTGTTGTTTTCTTTCATATTTATGTCAAATTCGAAAAGTTATACTTTCATTCCATAGTTGTCTTGATTCTTCACGGAATAACCTTTATATTGACGTTAAAATTTCAGTAAAATACTGTTTTTCTCTTTTGGATAAACACTATCGCTACGTTGTCATTTTTTCCACACAAAAACGGGAGCAAACCGGTCTCTTTTATAATATACTCGTTTACCGCTTTCGTTGTGGGAACAAAGTCTTAAAATACACACAAAAATCGTTATAAATTGCAAAAAGCAACAAGAACCTTTTTCCGGTGGCAAAGTGCCCTTTGCCTTTGTGAAAAGTGTTGTTCAGATTGTATTTTTGACTCACGGATGTTGCAAAGCAATATCTGTGAGTCTTTGTAGTTACTTGAGTGTGTCAGTTAAACAATGAGAAATGACCAGCCTGCTGCCAGTGCATTCTTTGGCTGCGAATCGGACCTTTCAGAATCAGAAATCGGGCTGGAGCACGACAAATGGCAAAATTTGCATGGTGCTCGTTTGCAAAAACATCTACAAACTGGTTTAATTCTTTCTGTCACCTTCATCTGATCTCATCCGCGGGACAACAGCCTCAACGGCCTTTGATTTATGATTGCATTTATTTTTCCTCCCCTACCCCCATCCCCCGTCGCCAGCATTTCCGGAAAAAAAGTTTTAGGTGCCCTGTCATTCCAAAAGTGCCCCTCGAAACCGGTGCCCCCCCCCCCAACTTTTTTATGCTTCCTACGCCCCTGCTAGTAGTATTTTCCATCATGCTTGTACACTCTCGGAATTTTGCGAAAACGTCAGACTTACTTTTGAAAAAATACACCATCACATATTTAATCATCAGTAAAGGTTAGTACATATTTACTGTACATATTTGAGGGACCTTAAACCATCATGATGCGGAATTACAGTGTATAAGCTACGATTTGACATCCATTGTGAAAATGAATTTGAGCCCATGCAATTATGCTAATTTTAAGTAATTTTTTCAAAAATTTGCATAAAAGATAATTCTCGTATAACTGAATTTTTTCTTCAATTTTAAAAAATTCTATGGAACATTTCTTAGAAAATTTCAAAAACGTCACAAATCAATATTAAAAAAATTCCCTTTGGTAAAAATTTTAAGGATACTGAGCTTGTTAAGCCCATATTAAGAAATGTGCAAAGTTTTTCGACAATTGTACAGGTCAGATGTGATAATTGTACACGTCACATCTCGCAAAAAATGCCAAAATTAAACCTGAATTTCTCGCTTTTCCTTCGGTAAAATTTATTTTAAAACTTTGCACATTTCTTAATATCGGCTAACAATGTGCTCAATATCCTTTTTTATCGAAGGGAATTTTTTTAATATTGATTTGTGACGTTTTTGAAATTTTCTAAGAAACATATTGGCAGAATGTTTTAAAATTGAGGAAAAAAATCATTATACGAGAATTATCTTTTATGCAAAGTGTTAAACAAATTTACCAAAGGGAATTTTTAAACTATGGCCGAACATTTTGAGCTTTATCGGACGTTCAGCACAAAAGAAGCAAATTGCAATGTTCAGAAGATCAATGTGTCCAATAAATTTCGTCTTCATGTGATGTAAAGTGAAGAAACAGGAGTTTCCTGGATACCATTGTGTAGTATAATGCAAAAACCTTAGGGAGGTTAAAATAGTTTTTCAGTATAATTAGTTTATGATTTTTAGAAAGAGAAATCACTCGTGGTCACTCGTGTGTACTTTTAGACAAGATTGTATTATTCTGTTGAAGTAGGACGATTTGAAGGTTGAGGATTTACAAAGGTTAGGTCGGCGTAGGTCGGATGAACTGAAACGAGTAGCGTGAAGGGAAGGTTGAGTGGAATATTTGTCTATATCTACTTCGTAGCCACCATGCAGATTTGCATTTATAGTAAAATGTCAGATCTTTAATTTCAAACCAGTGGGAGATTGGTAGTAAATTTAAACTTTTCAATCTGGAAGAGTACGAGGAATTGTAGTCTTGCGTGATGAACTTTTTTGCCCGTCTTTGAATGCCTTGTATTAGAACAAGGTCTCGCGATGATCCTTGGGGGGGAGGGGGGGAATCTCACTTCCGTAAGACAAGTGAGATCTTACATTCTTACTAATGTTAAATATAGCAGGCGACGGCAGTGGGTGTTGGTGAGCTGCGTACAATGGCGTCTTAAGAATCCGAGCATTCGATTGGCTTTATCAACCACATGGGCAATCTGATTTGACCATTTTAAGTCATCACTGATGAATATCCCGAGATCTTTTCGGATATTTACGCTCTTGATTTCTTCATTAGCAAGGTGGTAATTGGCTGGCATAACATTCTTAATTTTAAGATTCAAATATTTTAATATACATGGAATGGAACATATGTCTGCACAAGAATGAAAACATTGTATATACAAACATATTTTCCCACGATGCGATAATACGATGATGCAATCTCTAGTAGACTCCAGTGATCTACACAGGTCGATATAGCTTCAAATCGAAATTGTGATTAACTGACAACATGATAAAGTCTTTAGAATTCGCACATTTTACAAACAATATGCATATATGGTCTCATTTGCACATGCATATTACATGTAGGCCGTTTGCCGTGACCTAAAAATAAGCCTAGAAAACGATTTTCATTAAGCATGTCGTGGAACTGAAATACTTTCACGGTAACTAACATTTTAGAACACGCTGAATTCAAATACGAAAAGTTGCCGCTCCGTAGACCCGCAGTTTTTTCACAAATTGCATTTGTATTTTCAGTTCTTCGACGAACAAAAATAAACACGCGCCATTTTGAAATTAAATAACATCACTCAGAGTATGCCGTTTAACCCGTTTTTGCTCCCCAGTCTCCGATGCTCGTGACCGAGTTAAGATTTAGAGCAATGTTATTAAATTTGCTGCAAAACAAACACAGTCACGTGGTTTTAAAAATGGCTTGTCAGAGTGATTTTCAGTTTATTTGCCAGTAAAATCGCTAAAGAATGAGAAATAAAAGTTTAAATTATTTATTTGGCAGAGAAAAGCAATAAGGTAGGTGCTCCCTTTGTATATTTTTTGAGTTTGTTTAAGGCTAATGGCCTATAGAAGAACAAACAAGTGATTAAGAGTGAACAACCATCACGATTTATTCAGGTTTTATAGCTGTCCTGACTGGAAAGTTTGGAAATTGCACGGGGAATATTTCGAAAATTTAATAGTAAATATATAGGAAGCATCAAAATTGCGCGGAGAATTACTTCCCCACGCACAGCAAAGATTCCAGTCTGGATAGCTGTCAGACACATATAAGGAAAGGATTAATTAAGGCCAGTCTGCTTGAAAACTCACAGTAAAATTGTTCTATATCAAGTCTGCTGTTTATGGGAATTATTGTTGGTCATAAGGTGTAAAGTAATTTATAGAAACTGTTATTCAAATATTGACTTATCACCCCATGAAATGTCAAGAAGGCCAACAAAACCATGAACATTTGCATAGTATAAATGATTATTATATCTGCATAACCTGCTGCTGACTTATTTATTCCATGCTTTATTGCATCTTCAAGATTAAGACTGTGCTAGAATATATACACACAAGAATATGTAATAGGATATACAAATAAGATTCTGCATGAATAGATTGGGTCTAAACTTGTATTAATTTCGTCAATTACAAGGAAAGATGTTTGGCTGACAGAGATCAGCCTGGTTTTGAGATCTACAGTAGCCGCTCATATAAGCAGCCCTAAATTAGAATATCTACCTACAATCCTGGAAAAAATTATTGTGGACAGTGAGCACAAAAATACAAATTCCTGCCTTACCCAAACATACGTGCAAAAACAGCATTTTTTAACTGTTGAAAAGCTTCCAGATTGGTTAGGCGAAAGCTCTGTGACTGACGGGGGAGATGAAGATGCCAATATGTGTATGTGAACAGTAGTACTTTAATCGTTCACACCTATAAGTGTCCACAGAATTTTTGCCATGATTGTAGCATAATGTTTTGTTGCCCAATTTGACAAAGTAATGCTTTATATGTTGTTATGCTGGGTTTTTTCCAGCTTGACAGTAAACAAGCTGTTTGTTTTGTTTTATAACCTGTTAGAAATAAGGAAAAATACATGAGTCCCCAGGCAGCTGTGCTTGGATCTTAACCCTTTAAGTAGTTGCATTGCTCCCCAATGCACCCTACTTTATTAGTCTACTCTGTCTAATGCCAGACAATTTTACTCGTCAAGTGGAAAAGTGCTGGTGCTCATGCAATAGGTTAAACACCCAGCCCCAGGTCACTAATCTGGTGCTCTACTATGCAGTTGAGCTAAATGTGATCAATGACAGGCTGCGCTCAGATTTGTGTACTCTGCCCTGAATGGGGAAAGCCACATACAAATAAAAAACATTTAATACAACTTTAGACCCAATCTATTGATGCAGAATCTTATTTGTATATCCTATTATATATTCTTGTGGGTATACTGTATATTCTAGCAGTCAAAATCTTGAAGATGCAATAAAGCATGGAATAAATAAGTCAGCAGCAGGTTATGCAGATATAATAATCATTTATACTATGCAAATGTTCATGGTTCTGTTGGCCTTCTTGACATTTCATAGGCATGGGGTGATAAATCAATTTTTGAATAACAGTTTCTATGATTTAATTTGCACCTTATGACCAACAATAATTCCCATAAACAGAAAACTTGATATGGAACAATTTTACTTTGAGTTTTCAAGCAGACTGACCTTAATTAAAGTGCCTATATCACTTGTGGGATCTTTACGGATTTGAAAAGAGCGCAAAATGTTATATAACAAGTTGTTCAACCTTTTTTGATTTAGTTCAATAGTTTCTGAGATATGGGTCCTCAAACATGGCAATTTTGACATTTTTGGAAAAAAATCCGTCGTACTAAATTTTGCTTGGGGGCCTGGGACTCAGGAACGCGGGCGTAAACAAACACTATAGATTATATTGCAATTTGCCGATATAACTTACTAAAATGATAATTTTTGCAAGAAAAGTCGGTTTATTTAGCTCAAAATCGTCTTCCAGTACTGACAAAAGTTCATATACGATTGCGCTAAATATAAAATCGTGGTGAAACGCACAAAACGACTTCAAAATCAAATTTGAAAGTGAGCCTTCCTAAATGTCTTCAAGCATCGCCGAGCATGAAAGAGTTAGCATTTAATACTGAAGAATATGTTTTGAAAGCTAGAAGAATATAACAGGGATGTAAAGAAATTGTTTATAGATGGAACGGGCATAATCGTATTAGTTCTCGGTAAGTGAATCGAATATTTTCTATTTGTAAATATCGTGTGATAGTCACATTTCTGATTTGGCAATTAATAGTAAATAAACAAACGAAAAATTGTGTGTATTTTAGATTCAATACTAATAATAGCTTAACTATTGAAAAACACTATAAAACTTGATATAGACAAGGGATAACCGGTTTGATTTGGCCATTCACAAAATATGCAGGATTTGATTCTGTTTGCCTCAATTGCTTTTGATCTGATCATTTGAAAACCTGTGTTGCACAAACATGTGGTATAAGCTGATTCAAAGGAGAATTAATTTTTGAGGTCTTAACTTAATATTCTTATAAACTTTGGACATATTCAGTTTAATAGGGCCATGCAAAGTTTTTGTTTATTATAGGAATAGGTTAATGCACCTTGCTAATGTCAAGGCAAAGCTTGAGTTGCACAGATTACTGTGTCTTCAGTAAACTGTATAACAGATCACTGGTTTGCCTCATGGAGGCAAGTAATACAGTATTAAAGTCTAGGTATAATTATATCTCTACTTTTAGGTCTTTATATCAGTGGCATACATGTGATTCACAAGATTAGCTCATGGTTGTAAAAAAGATGAAATAATACCATTATGTTCTGTTTATCAAACTATCTGCAGTTTTTAATGGGAAAGATGATGACTTCAAAGGATATGAATATTTGGAAGATGAAAAATAAGAAATATAATTTTAAAGCACGACTAACCACAAATATGATTTTTGGTATGTGCAATATCTGTGTCATTCGTTCAAAGAAATGGTATCTCTATAATAAAAAATCCCTTCTTCATTGACCTTTTCACTGTCAAAGTTTCCGGATATGTCATTAGGTGAATTTTTACTATAAAGATACATTACATTTCTTCTTAGAATTATGACCCAAATATCACATAAACCAAAAGTTCTATTTGGCGTTAGTCCAACTTTAATTAATGCATGTTTGATTTTTTGTCATTAACTTGCATTTAATAAAGTTACAGCACACATAGTGCACAAATAATATCTAGTCTATTTGTTTAAAAAAAAATCAACAGACAAAGGAGTCAAAGTCATGAAAAAAAGTGCTACTGTGTACAGGAAAATGTTGAATTAAAAACTACTTGATCAACAAGAACAGCTTAGGAAGACAGGTTATACAGAATTGAATAATAGTTGAAGGGTCTTGTATAGATGGAAATTATCGAGTAGAAATTTATATGCATTTATTATACCTAACCAGGAAAAGTTGTGAAAAATCAAAGTGCAACCGCTGATCCCTGGCAGAAATCCAACCTGCTGCCCTGCAATTCCGGTGCAGCTAGTGCTAGCTGTAACCAATATATACAGGGGTGGAAAAAATAGTTGAGCACTGCTCGCAGTAAATGTTAAACAGCTGCAGGAAATTTGTTTGAATAAAGATTTGCTATTGATTAACATTTGAAGGAAACCTTAACACCCATGTGGGCTATGGGTGCAACAACATATGGTTGACAGACATTATTCCTTGAATTTAAAACCATGGTCAGCTAGAACACCATATGTTTATGCACATGTACATTTAGCACAAAAATAGTCTAATACTAATAAAGGAAATTTTTGTCTCCAGGTTGTGCTCCCAGGAAGAAAATTCTTTTCTCCTGCCCTGAATATATATATAGAGAGTACTGCCATGTTCAGAGTATGAGTAAATATCGTGATTTTGTTGGCTTCTCACTCGATTCAATAATAGTTGAAGGGTCTTGTATAGAAGAATATTTAATAAATGTATATAAATTTCCACTCAATAATTTTCATCTATACAAGACCTTTCAAACAGGGCCAGCCCTGCAAACCAGGCACACATAAACAGCCCCTAAATCATGCGATACTGGTCTGGATCCTTGCAGATGTCATCATGGCTCCAACCCTCACAAGTTCAGGTTGTTTGGCAAGGGTTGGAATGTTGGGAGCTTTACCATTAACAGCAAAGCCATAAATTCAAGCCAAGTATTTATATATTGGTCTATTGCAGCAATAAAGCTAATACAATCATTGAATCATGAAATGTATTGTGATTTTCAACTGTACAAAATAGAATCGAAAAAGCTCCTCCTTTACTTAATCTTTATATCTCAATAATTCAAGCTGCAAAACATAATCACTCAAAGACAACCCAAAATATGGTATTAAATTGCAAGTGGCAAATACATAATACATATAGAAAATGGCAAATACATTTACATATAGAAAATATATTATTCACTTTAATACGAAGAACTATCACGATATACTGTACATGTAAGGTCCGTTTCATGTGAAAATGAATTTTCTTATTTCCTTGTTATATTCTTCCAACTTTCAAACGTATTCTTTGGCCCATATTTCGTCAGTGTAGCTTTAAATGCCAACATTGGGCCATGTGGATATCCAGGGTTGTGGATATCCAGGGGGTCCAAAGAACAAAAATCCATTAGGAGAAAGAAATTTTTCAAGATATATCCATGGGTAAATATAAAAAAATCCAAATAAAAATCCAAATGGAAAAAATTTAAACAAAATAAATCCATGGTAGTAAATTTATTTATTCATGGCAGTAAATTTATCAGTGAATTTATTTATGTATTAATTCTATTTCAAAGAACATATGCAAAATATCCATTGAACAAATTTAACAAACTCCAAAAATCCAGGGGGAGAAATTATGTTTAACCTTCAATAGGTTAACAAAGGTTTAGAAAATCCACGGGAAATGTTAAAATGAGAAATCCACATACCCTATTACTAAAGCAATATCCAGGGGGTATTTTTTGTAAACCCTCAATAGGGGGGTGCGGTTAATAAATGGAATGGCCCATTTTCATGCTCGACAAAGCCAGATGCCATCTACGAAGGAGCACTTTCAAATTTGATTTTGAAGTCGTTTTGTACGTTTCACCTTCAATTTTATATTCAGCGCAATCGTAGGAACATTTTTCAGTACCAGAGAACGATTTTGAGCTTAATAAACCGACTTTTCTTGCAAAAATTCTCACTTTAGTAAGTTACAGCGTCAAAATATAATACAATTCTATAGTGTTTGTTTACGCTCGCGTTCCTGAGTCCCAGGCCCCCAAGCACGACGGATTTTTTTGAAAATTGTCATGTTTGAGGGTCAATATCTTGGAGAATACTGAACCAAATCAAAAAAGGTTCAAGAACTTACTAACTAACTTTTTGTGTTCTTTCCAAATCCGTAAATATCCCACAAGTGATATAGGCACTTTAATCCTTTCCTTATATGTGTCTGAGAGCTATTAATTTAATAACCTGAATAAATCGTCAAGGTTGATGACTGTTCACTTAATCACTTGTTTGTTCTTCTATAGGCCATTAGCCTTAAACAAAGTCAAAAAATATACACAGACAACACCTACCTTATTGCTTTTCTCTGCCAAATAAATAATTTAAACTTTTATTTCTCATTCTTTAGCGATTTTACTGGCAAATAAACTGAAAATCACTCTGACAAGCCATTTTTAAAACCACGTGACTGTGTTTGTTTTGCAGCAAATTTAATAACATTGCTCTAAATCTTAACTCGGTCATGAGCATCGGAGACTGGGGAGCAAAAACGGGTTAAACGGCATACTCTGAGTGATGTTATTTAATTTCAAAATGGCGCGTGTTTATTTTTGTTCGTCGAAGAACTGAAAATACAAATGCAATTTGTGAAAAAACTGCGGGTCTACGGAGCGGCAACTTTTCGGATTTGAATTCAGCGTGTTCTAAAATGTTAGTTACCGTGAAAATATTTCAGTTCCACGACATGCTTAATGAAAGTGAACGATATCGTGTCACGGCAAACGGCCTAATGTGGAGCTAATCGGAATTCAATTTCTTACGTTTGCAAGTGAATATACGTTCGTTTACGTACTTCGGTGTATGTTAACTAATAACTTTGTTAATTAATAACTTCCATTCAGCACTCCAGTTCACATGAGAGATCAGTGAGACCAGTGTATCATTCTTAGATATCCTTGTGTCAATCAATGGTAATAAACTCTAATAATGGTAATAGTTACTCCTGTGTTCTACAAGCCCACTGACTCCCATAGCTATTTTCTATTTTCCTCTTCCCACCCCAACCATACCGAAAGGTCGATTCCATATCTCAGTTTCAGTCATTTTATAGATTCTGCCACCACCATTTCGGAACCAAAATCTGAATACTATTACTATGTCAAGCACCTTTTCACGGGCACCTCGTCCCATCTCATCTACTGCATCTCATGCAGTAGATGTGGCATGCTTTTTATATTGGAGAAACTGGAAGCTAGACCTTTGAGTACAAGGTTTGGTGAACATCGGTGTGCAGTCATTTGCAATGATGCTAACCAGCCTGTTGCCAGACATTTTAGGGCTTGGCGATCACAGTGTTTCAGATATGGAAATTCGAGCTCTCTGTGCCATTTCTGGTGGCAACAATAGCCGCAATCGATTTTCTGTTCAATATATAGTAGCTATCATGCATTTGCTTCCTTGATTATTATACAATCATGGATATATATTCAAATGTATTCTCCCCAAAATCTTCTCGATTGTCTCTGAACAAGGCTCTGCGTATGATCAAAGTCCCGAGAAAGGACCATAATTTCGAAGCACAAACTTTAGAGAAAACTAACATTCTCCATTCTCCAGTTTCTCTGCGCCTTTTAGTCTTTTTAATCACACCACTTTCACTTTTTTCCAAATTTGGTTATTTTCGTCAAGCTCTGTGGTTTCTTCCTCATCATGACTATCAGCTTCTTTTTCATATCTTTCATGATCAACTTCCTTGTTAAGTATTTGTAATAACGTGCGCGCTGACTTGATGGTGCAATAATATTTCGATATTCTAGCCACAATCCAGTTAGACCACTCTATTGAAAAACTTTCAAATTCGAAATTTTTTTCTCTGAAAAGCATCATTAGTAGTCCTAGAAGTTTCTGAAAGGCAAGACATGTCTGGTATGACCTTCCTCTTTCTTAAAATTTCGTCTTTTTGGAAGGGTATGTAACCACTTTTATTGTTGCCATGGACACTAGTTTGTATTTGTTGTTTGCTAGGTCTTGTTTTTTTGGTTATTTGTTGGTGTTTAGAATTTTTTACCTATTTATGATATTCCGCAACCTAAGGGACTGGTAACAAGGTTGACACCTGGTTGCCAAGCCATGCAAGATTATATTTTGCTTCATTGTTTGAGAGTAAAGCTATAAAACGAAAATACTGTCGCCGTTTTGTAACTGTATATACCTTATTATAGGAAATTAACGATGCACTTTATTAACGCAGATTTTAAAAATTCGAGTTAATTTAATTAATGTTAATTTATGTCATCGTTAATTTTAAGTATGTAATTTTTATTTATCGTTAGTTTAAAAAGAAATTGATTTGTTTTATATATATAACACTAACTCTTCTAATATCAAAATACAGCATATTAACGTAAACTAAAAACATCAGTGTTCCTCTCAACTCAGTTCACTACCCGATTCGCGTTAAATTTAATTAATTTGTCAGCCATGGAGATCAGATTCGCGTTAATATAATCATGTTTTAAAAGAACTAGAAGCAATCCGCGTTACTTTGATGTCGCATTAATTTATGTCGCTTTAATAAAGTGCATCGTTAATTTCCTATAATATGGTAGTCTCCTAGAGATTATATTTTCTTGGCAATGCCAAAGGTTTCGAAAATTTTTTACCATTTTTACTGTTGCCATGGAAACTAGTTTGTATTTGCTGTTTGTTAGGTCTTGTTTTTGGTTATTTGTTGGTGTTTTGAATTTTTTACCTATTTATGATATTCCGCAACCTAAGGGACTGGTAACAAGGTTGAAGCCTGGTTGCCAAGCCATGCAAGATTATATTTTGCTTCATTGTTTGAGAGTAAAGAGTATAAAACGAAAACACTGTTGCCGTTTTGTAACTGTATATAGTCTCTTAGAGATTATAGTTTACGTTTTGTATAGTTCCCACAGTTATAGACTCGTTGAACTGTCAAGTTTAGTAAGTGCATTTCAACCTTTACATAATTGTGAATTTGGGCGAGAGTTGAAAGTTAAAGACGACTAGGAGGTATGGATGTAGCTCGGTTATCAACATAGATTGCTCTAGGTGTGGTACCAAAATTGAGCTTCACATTTCTGGGAACAAGAGCCAAGTGTAGAAGCCTCAAAATTCCATGGACAACAATAGACGAATGGTTTATTCAGCAATGGAACTGGGAGTGGGACGAGAAGGAATGTCGGTTATGTGTGACATTTTCAATATACCACCGCCTTGCCATCATAAAGCTTTGGATAACCATGTTGCTGCATTGTATGAAACCCACGAGAAAGCTGTTGCTGAACAGTTACAGCGGGCCAGCGATAAAGTCTTTTCACGCCATAGTTGCAATGAATCAGATGTTGCAGAGATTGCTGTTAGCTATGACGGAACGTGGTCCAAAAGAGGGTACACAGCAAATTTCGGGGCTGGCTTTGTCATTTCAGTTGAAACCGGTGAGGTACTTGACTATGACTTTGAATCAAAGTTATGTATGGAATATGCAACAGCAAAGAAGGATCTGGGTGAAGATTCCAGTGAGTTTGACATGTGGTTCCGTGGTCACCAAGAACGATGCGCCCAAAGTCACACCGGTTTCCATGAACAAGACGATTTGGGACCGATCGAGGGAGAGCAATCTGCAGTACAATTTTATGGTTTGTGATGGTAACAGTAAGGGGTATGGTAAAGAAAATCGTGATAGTGCAAAGGCTGAGTGTTCGAGAGTTATGAAATTAGATTGTATTGGGCATGTCCAGAAAAGAATGATGATTCATTTGCGGGAACTAAAAAAGAAACAGACAAGTTGAAGCATGGAAAATCAGTGAAGGGCAGCAAAAATACACTAACAGACAAACATTGGATAAGCTTCAAACATACTATGGCAATGCAATCAGGGCAAATGCGAAGCCTGGTAAACTAACTGCACAACAGAAAGCAGGAACAAATATCTATTATACAACAGGCTATAATGGCTGTTCTATATCATTCATGTGAACTTCCGGATGACAAGAAGAGGCACAAATATTGTCCACTGGGGCCAGATAGCTGGTGCTCTTATGAAGGACAAGGGACACTCCCGAGAAAGGACCATAATTTGGATGCGGTTTTCTTGGAACGTTTGCGTCCTGAATTCACTCGACTCAATGAGTATTCTCTTCTGTTTCGTTGCCTTCCTGGCTATTCACAAAATGTGAACGGAAGCCTAAACAGTCTTGTATATGGAACCGTGCCTCTAAAGACAGGTATAAAGGGCCTCAAGTTGTGGAAACTGCAGTCGGTCTTGTCTGCTAATATTGTATTTTAACTCTGGAACAGTCTCAAAACCAGATGTTCTGGAACAGCCTGAAGACCAGATGTTATCGAAGCTGCAAACATTCCAGGTGGTGAGCGCAACCTGGAATGGTATATGAAGAAATCTTGAACTGTCTGTTCCAGTGTGGGTAGTGCCAATAATATGAACGTTCTGGAATGGCCTTCGCTCGAAACGTCGAAATTCTCCTTATATTTTTCAGGTAGTTACATCCCTACCAAACAAAAGCTTGTTCATGTATGAAGAAAGATGAGAAGAGGATGTCACACTCCATATGAAAGGCAGAGTCGAAAGAAAAGTTGAGAAGAAGAAAGACAAGACACGCAAAGCCAGCTGCAAACCTACAAAAAGGTGAACCATCATAAATAAGCCTGTGGAATGTGCAACGACGTTGACCCTCTTGGCTATGTTGCATCATCATCTGATGATGATTCAATTGATGACGACTATCCATTATCTAGACTTCTGGCTGATGGTGTATCTGATGATAGTGATGATGCTCCATTAGCTCAATTAATCAGCAAAAGACAACAAAAGTGACATTATGGTATCTTTACACTGATATGTGTTGATTTTGGACAGGTACATTGATAGTATGTCATAAACCACTTTTGCTTTAGTTCGCTAACTTTAACTGGCATCTTCTCGGAGAAAGTATTTTTGTTAGCAGGCTAGTACTTAAATCCTAACTGGGGTACCTGCAAGGCAGGACTTGCTGCGGGCATCAAGAGCAAATAGAACTAAATAGTACAAATTATATAAAGCACAGTTAGCTACAGTTAGTACTCGCAGCGAGCCAGCGACTGGTGAGCACTGTGGCCGAAGCTTAAAACTTAAGGATACGGAATCAATTCATGCCATGAGTGTAACTGAGAAAAAGAAAATACATTTGTTGCCAAGACCAGGGGTTAATGGGCAATCACAGGTGACAGATATTTAACAGTTATTCTACGAACTCGAGTCGAATATGAGCTGATAGCCGATGAGGCGCGTAGCGCCGAATCGGCTATCGCTCATATTCGACGAGAGTGAGTGGAATAACTGTTTTATTATATACACAAGGTCTGAATTCACAGACTTTGCTTTTCGGATATTTTCAATATTTTTCTATTTTGTTTATGTTTTTATCTTCGCTCTTTCGGCCGATTATTTTTTCAAAAATATATATTTTTAACCATTTTAAATTTTAAAAATTTATTTGCTAACCTGAAAACAATTTGTGGGAGTTTTTTCATTGTGTTTTTAATCCTGTAAAGGCTATAAAAAGCGACAACTTGCCGTTTTCTCGTTTGCAAAACATCGTAAATTCAGTTTGGCCGCCATTTTGTTTTTCTCTACTAGCAGGATATGAGCTAATATCCTGCTAGTAGAGAACCAATCAGATTGCAGAATACCTCATATCCAGACCTTGTGTATATAATAATTAGATATATTAATTAAAGATGTGCGTCTCATTTAATACTTGCATGTTAATGTTTATGTTTATGGAAGTAATATTCACTAAATAGTAAGCAAGAATATATATTTTCAAGACCAAGTGAAATCTGTTCGATTACGCGCCGCTTAAGTACGCGTATAAAAACAAACGACAAAGCATTCTTAAGACGTACAGCATGAATATGTAATATTTCCAAGACCAAGTACCGGCAAATGAAATCTGTTGAATTACGCGCTGCTTTAGTACGCGTATATTAAATACAAACGACAACGCATTCTTAAGACGTACAGGTAAATTATACAACACAAGTTTTTGCTAGGCGAAGTATTAAACTAAGGAACCAAAACTAATCTAGCTACTAGTCTGTAATGTAGTGAGTCAAAGCACATGGAGTCGGGTGAATGTGTACTGCGCACAATAACTGAGCACGACCACAATGCAGCGCGCTAGAAAAAAATACTGAACAGTCGCCTCTCTGCACAAATTATACTGCTGCTCGTTTTTCGGTTTTCAACAACCCCTCCCCCCACACATTTGTTTTCATGTACTGATCGCTCATGGCTCGCTTTTGAGCCGCCAGTATCCTCAGTGATGGCTGCTTTCCAGTTTTCCTAAATCCCTGCTGCGCGCTCAATATCAGTCCGATTTTCATCAAATTTTCACCAAATGTTCGTCAGTGCATGCAAAATATGGTAAAGTTGTAAAATTATAATAATAATAATTTGATTATTTAAATATAGCGCTTAATCTATCAAAGAATATTCTAAAGCGCTGTACAATGATGAATTTACAATAATAACTAAAATATACTCTAAAAAGCTGTGTATTGGCAATGTTATAGTTATCCTAAAAATTTAAAACCGTATATATACACTAATAATACTTAAAAATAAGTCTATTCATATGCCTTCCTAAATAGAAATGTCTTTAATTGAGATATAAAATAGTTAACAGTTTCACACCGCCTATAATGCATGTAAAGTGGGAGAGAGTTCCAAATTCATAGAGGAGCAGTAGACTTAAATGATCTGTCTCCAAGAGTTTATTGTATCTGCGAAGCAGATATATTGCTATCGCAAACGTACTGTTACCGCGTATGTTAACACATAGCCCACTCAGCGACGAGCTTATATAATTAAGCCAATACACCCTTCCGGAAAGTACGTCACTTTGGCTATACAGCCTCGTTTTCATGTATGTGACATCATGAAAACGATGCTCTATAGCCAAGGTGACGTACTTTCCGGAATCGTGTATTAGCCTTTCTCACGCCGCCATTTTTGGGTGGCATTTCAGTCGAGGTCTGCAAGATAAGTCCATGCACATACCGTAAACCTCCGACTATAAATCCCCCCGAATATAAGCCCCCTCCCGAATATAAGCCCACTGAATATAAGTTCCCTGACTATAAGCCCAGTAGCCCACTACGTTATTCAACATTGACGTACGTTGTCTTTTTATATAAAGATAGCAGAGAACGATATTTAAAAACATTGTCATTGTCTTTATAGCTTACTATGTTAATCAAAGCGCGTGTCTATTTTCCTGTTTATGACTGAATTGTTTATGTCTGACTTGTTTATTACTAACACAAAAGATCGTCCATGTATTAGCCCCCCGTATATAAGCCCCCCCCCCCTTGTATAAGCCCATCAAAAATCGCTTACGAAAGTATTAATATAAGCCCTGGCTTATATTGTCGGAGGTTTACGGTAACAGCGACTTTTTTATAATTTTTTGGACGAATGATGGTAAATTTGCTTTGTAGATGGTTAGTTTATTTTGAAAAATTGCTTTTCACATTGTTTTTAATGTCTGCATTGGTTAACGAGAATTAGATGCCAGCCAAAAATGGCGGATATTCGTCATCGTGAAAAAGGCTAATTAATTTTTAATGATAATTTAAGTCAATCAACGATTAGTTTAATCAATTGTTTACATCGTGTCCGCATCTAAGGGATAGACCATTAGATATTCATGCAAGGAGCTGGACTAGAAAAAAAATCCTGCAAGCACTTGGGGAAAGAAAAAAATTCGTGCAACTAATTCATGAGAAATTCAAATGAAACTTATTGAGAGCGGGCAGTTTAGTAGCTAACAGTATGGCTCATTTTGAGATATTTGTAACTTTACAGTACTTGTGATACATTTAATTTAATAACCTCAATAACATTATGGATTGAAAACGAGTTTATATATATATAGAGCAACATTTTTGTGAAAAAATACAAAACAGCGAGACTTCAAGTTTAGAGAAAAGAGATCCTGAATGAAATTTATTCAATTTCTGCCAGGGATGGATTCAGCATGTTCTGGTAAGGGGGGGGGGGGATGCTCTGCCAGCTTTGGTGCCGAGTTGTGTCGGCCATGTGCGCCGCCTGCCCATCAACTTGTTCGCTTATCATCATGTTCAACTTCGTACCCAGGGATTTTTGCTTCCGCGGTTGGATGGTCAGCGAAAAAGGCCCTGGCTTCGGCTGGTCTGTTTTGCAACCTGATTGGTCAATGATTTTGAATGTAATTATTCGATATATGCGGGAATAACTATTATTTTGGTGGAACGAGAGTGGAGTGACAAATTTGTAATTAGTTCTTGAAGGACTAAAGTATTGAGCAAATAAGATTTTTGACATTTCGCTTGAGATACAGCATGAATTAGGGAAAGACAACACAAAACAATTTGGTCCAAATTAAGTCTTTGTATATTTTGTATAGACGAGTATTTGCTTCGGTTCAACATATATTTCTCACATGCGTTGTTTACACATCGTTGATTTCAAGAAACGTACAGCGTTATAGTCAAATAAAGATTGTGATACAAATGTATTTTGCTCATATTAAACACGATTTATATAAACCAAACTTTGTTTTGTTTTGTTTAGTCAGTTATTAAGTTATGTTTATGTTTAAAAGTCATCAATATTACGGGCTATATTGCTGAATGAAGCGTGAACAACGAAAACCGAATAAAGTCAACTAATTTTGTTGCTTTCTCTTTGATTATATACGCAGCATTGAGTTTGTTTACTCCTGTAGTAATTACAATGTGTATAATTATTCTATATACGTACTTATACGCATAAATTATCATAATTGAACACCCCAAATACTGGAGATTTTGAGATCATGTGACCGGCCGATGCCAGGGCCATTTTCGCTGATCAGAAGCAAAATGCCCTGGGTACGAGGTTGCATTGCGGACAAATTTATTTGGGTATCTGAAATTCGGAGTCCTTTTTTGTGCTCATTCAGCCATTTTGCTATATTCCACTGCGAACAAAATAGGTATCTGAAATTTGTATCTTATTTACCTGCTGTTACTTTTACTATATATTCACTTTACAGTATTTTTTTTGAAGACAGAAAAAATATATTTTATAAATAAGGGATTTTGAGGAAATTAACCTTTCCTCCGAATTTATAAATATTCTAAGTTGGAAATATATAAAGTTTGCAAAAATGTACAAAACCACTACTAAAAGCAGCAGTAAATTTTCTATTCCGCAGAATTGAAATAAATTATTTTTACACATTTTTACCAAAAACGAATTTCTCTTGCACTTGTGCAGAAAAATTAGTCAAATTCTGGAAAATTAAGGATATTTTGTGTGAATTTGGTAGTTTGGAATTATTGAAAATCTACGAATACAACTGTCACGACAACCGACTTCTCGTGATAGTCGTTATAGTGTACGTGATTAATTTGAATTTGAATTTGAATTTACTAACATTTGTCACAAAAATTACAATATTAGCGACAGGAGAAGAAACAGGATAAAATCCCAATTGATATCTTCCCCTTACATGCAGTTAAAATATCTAAAGCTATTTAATGTATACAAAAATATATATAAAAAGCAATAATGAAAAATGATCTAGTACTAAATTAAGGCGGAGAGTATGTTAAGAGTTTTTCATTGTAAATAGAAGAGAGTTGCCTCCTAAAAAGAGCAACACTCCGATTACAAGTTTTCAACTCATGTGGAAGATTGTTCCATAATTTCACTGATCTTGGAAAATATGAATTTTGATTGTAACACTGTTTGTGGTTAAATAATTCGCGAAGGTTTCACCAATTTATAAAGAAGGTGATAAAAAAGGG